TTGATACCATTCTTGGCGAACCAGTCGTCGTCCTTCTTTTTGAAACAGGTGGCGAGCGGGTGATTGGTGCCGCCGCACACCTGACCCGCACGGGGTCCCATTTTGATGACGTAAGGACAGGGTGGGTAGCGGTTACGAGTGGGTGGCGGATTGGGACGCGATGCTGGAGCCGGGACAGGAGCGCGAAGCGCATTTGCACGAGCCTGCGCAGTGTTGTCTTTTTCAGCAGAGAGAAGTGCGGAAGAGACTTTGGCAAAGGTTAGCTCTTCTGGCGGGAGATGGAGAAGCATGGAGCGGGTGACATTGTAAGAGGGGGTCAGCCCAACAAGCAGAGCTGCTGCAGGGGCTTGCTCTGGGAAGACAATGCCGAGTTGCTTCAGCTCCTGATGGATCCCTTGAATTTCAGCGACGTAATCTGCCATTCCAGGGCACTCCTCCAGACGCACTTGAAACATGCGGGGGATGAGGATCGCCACCCCCACAGCGGTTTTGTTGAGGAAGCGGTCGTTGAGGTACTCCCAGATGGCGTGCGCGGAGGGGTAGTTATGGTAAGTTTTGACGAGCTCGGAAGGGGTAGTGCCGACGAAGACGCCAATGATAGCGGCGTCGGCTTGCTCCCAAACGCTGTAAGATTCCTCATACTTGGACATGGATTCCTCATGGGTTTTTAACTCTTCCCCTGTGGCTGTGGCCGAGAGCTTCTTGGGAAGGATCGGCATCTTTCCTTTGCCGCGATTGAGGAGGACATCCTTGAGGCAAATCCCCTCAATTTTGCGGCTTAGGAGATGCTTATCAACCCCATAGCTCCACTCCTTGAAGTTAGGGCTTGAGCCATTTGGGTCGAGGCGCAAGGGAGTGATCGGGTTTGAGAGAGACGCGGAAGGATACGCCATGATGCTCCAAGGACCCTTTCTCCGCGCGTAGCGCAGCTCTTAAGTCGCAGCGCGGGCTCCGCGAAAAACAGGGTTTCCCTTTGCGGATTTTCAACACTCGGAGAAGAGGAATAGCCGATAAAGAGGGAAATCTGAATGCCAAAAATCTATGGAAACCCGCGATGTGCTGCTGCAATCCCGCTGCTCCGCGACCCCCCCTTTTCCGCTTCGCCGCTGCCCCCTTTTCCGCTTCGCCGCTGCCCCCTTTCCGCTTCGCCGCTGCCCCCTTTCCGCTTCGCCGCTGCCCCCTTTCCGCTTCGCCGCTGCACCCCCCCGCTGTTGCAAGGGCGACGGGCGACAGCCCGTCCAGCTTCGACGAGCAGATGCGGGGCGACGGGCTCAGCCCGATCAGGTGCGACGAGCAGATGCAGGGCGACGGGCTCAGCCCGATCAGGTGCGACGAGCAGATGCGGGGCGACGGGCTCAGCCCGATCAGGTGCGACGAGCAGATGCGGGGCGACGGGCTCAGCCCGATCAGGTGCGACGAGCAGATGCGGGGCGACGGGCTCAGCCCGAAAAGAAGCGCCGCGCTGAGTTGAGGCGACTAGAAAAGCTTTGCGTCGTAAGACGCAAATGCTAGGCTCCAACGGAGCGAGAGGATCAAGAGCCGCTTAGGCGGAAACGAGCTCTGATACCATATCATAAATTGAGAACTTGATTGATTGAAATGAGCAAGAGCATACATCCTTAAGTACCGAGCATCGGAGAGGATGGGAAGGGATAAGGGAGAATCGGAGGGAATCCCAAGGGAATCCTCCCAAATCGTGGGGATTTGGGATGGATTGGGTTGGGATAGGTTGGGGATGAAAACATAGCTACACCCAACCTAACAAATATGAGTATCCCTAAAACCAACAAAGTGTCAACACACAAAATTGTGCCAACCGAATTGCAGCCTATCTCTAACAATAGCCCCCCAGAGAAGGGGGGCAAGAGGCATGGACGAGGAGACACCGAGCAATCTTGGTGATCTCCCGAACACGGCTCTCGGCCACACCATTCTGCTGGGGGGAGTGGGGGAGGGTGTGAGTCTGGCGAATGCCATGAAGCTCACTGTAGGAGGCTACCTGGCGATTAAGGAATTCGCCATCGCCATCAGAGTGAAGGCGGCGGAAAGGGGGGCCAAAGTGGGTGCTCCCCTGCTTTAGCCAGGTGATGATCGCAGCCGGAGCGTCACCCTTTGAGCAAAGAAGGGAGACGGAAGAATATCGGCTGTGATCATCGATCAGAACAAGCATGTAGTGATTAGCGCTACCTGGGAAGACGGTGGTGATACCGGCCTACTGCAGGGATCGCTGGGAGAGGAGGTTAGTACGGAGGGAGGGGATGTGTAAACCAGTGACGGTACCTGAGGGGAAGAGGGGACAGGGAAGGGTAGAGGTGTGGCGACAGGGAATAGAGAAGCTGGAATCGGCACCAAGGAGGGAGGTGGGGGCTGGGAGAGGGTGAAGGGTACCAGCATCACGAAGGACTGACTCGATGGCTCCACTGTCACGGACAAAGTCCAGCGTGGTGGAAGGGGGAGGATGTGGGGGAGGAGGTGGGACAGAGTACTGAAGCATATTCTCATTAATAGCAGCCGAATACATAGAAGGGGTAGGGGCTCCAGCCTGACTAACCATGCCAATAAAACCAAAGGAGGGGAAAGGAGTCACACTGCCTGTGGCTGAGGGCGCGGGAGACGCGCCCGAGAGGTGAGCTGCGGAAGCGGCGGTGCCGGCGGTCCAAGAGGGGTAGGGCTGCTGGGGGAGGAGGTGCAAGGGGGAGCTGCGACTGGAGGTCAAGCTGCTGCTGGAGCTGCTGCTGCAGCTGGGAGAAGAGGTGCTGCTGCTGGAACTGCGGCTGCTGTTGCTGAAACGGCTGCGTCAAGATCTGCTGCGGAGTCTGTTGCTGCTGCTAAGGAACGGCCTGATGGGCCAAGGAGGAGGAGACGGGCTGGAAGAGAGGGGAGGTACGAACCCCTTGAGGAGTGCGGCGAGGGGAGAGGGAGGTTTAGCGGGGGGGGTGCCGGTGTTGCCGCGGGCAAAATACTCATCACTGAGCGCTTTGAAGCAAGAATCAGTGGCATGAGTGGTTTGGCCGCAGCGCTGACCCCGCGTGGGGCCATAGCGAGGGAGATACTGACAAGGAGGAAAGGCGGCTGCTGCACCACGTCTTGCGCCACTGCCACCACGACCCGCACCACCACCGCGACCTGCACCACGCCCACCCCCACGCCCTCCCCCCCTGGTGTTGCGGTGCTGAGTAACAGCGGCAGTTGAGGAGGAATGGCGCAAGAGGTCAGCCTCAGTGGTGATGATCCACTGGGCGACCTCAGCCGGGGTGATGCGCTTGTCGATAAGCTGCATGTAGGCGATCTTGTGGGTGTCGAAGGCAGGAGTCAAGGCTTCAAGGAGGTGGCAGCAGAGCACTGGGTCCGGGTTCGGGACGCCAAGAGCCGCCAGACGATGAGTGAGGTCGAGGACGCCAAGGCCGCTGCGCCGGTGGTGGAGTCCATGGTGAGGCTCTGGAACTCCTTGATGAGGGAGTAAAGGGTGGCGACATCCTGCTGATCATAGAGATCGGTGAGGAGCCGCCAGAGGTGGGAGCAAGCTCCCGCTTGAGGGTGAGAGGAATGGTGGCGAGGAGGATGGTGAGCGCGCGATAGTCAGCGACACGCCAGGCGGCGAGGTCGGTGATGTACGCGCGCTCGCGCTTGGCGTACTCCGCGAGCGCCGCCTGGTATGTGTTGTAGGCGGCATTGGCGGCGTCATGCTCGGCGCGGGAAGCCTCGTAGAGTAGCTGCTGGTGGACGTGGTCGGTGAGGCCGACACGGTAGGTGCGGATGGCGGTCTCGGAGCTCTGAGGGTCGTTGACGTCAGGGGCGAAGGTCGGAGGATCGCCAGGGCTGACGGGAGCATCGTCGACGGGAGGAGGAGGTACCTAAGTTGGTTCCTTACGTTACGTTTACGCGATTCTGGTTTTAGGCCTGTATGTACGGGCAAGCAAATTTTTTTCTACCTGCCCAGAAAAAAATTAGGGAACCCTAGGCAGATTTTTGTACAGACTTCCATTGGCCATTAAATATTTTCGTAGGAAGATAGAAAACATCCACAAAATTCCAAGTTTCCAACAGGTGCTATGCTGATTGTTTGGGATTGGTTGGCTTGCTGGCTGCACTTTCGTCGCAAGCCACAATCGCCAACTTCTGCCGGTGCGTCGAAAGTCACATTTCGGTGCGACGAAATTTACTATCTCTTGACTGGTTGGCGAAATTACCGCATGCGCGAAATCTCGTCTCCGTTGCTTGACGTGCCGGCAATCCAACCAGTCGACGGATTTGTGAGCGTCAAATCTGACGTGCTGGTACTCTAACCCAACCCAACCCTCCTCGACATTCAATTCCCCTTCCCTCCTCAACGAATGTCAGTCGCTACCCTATCTCTAGTAGCAACTAAGTTAAGTCTAAGTCGCATCCTAGGACTATCAGCGCGCCTTCGACCAGCGCGACGAATCTACGTGCGCCATAGTTCATGACGGGGTAGATCTGTGCGAACCGTGGGCAGCGATAATATAGGCGTGGTTGCAGATTGCGTAGTTGTAGAACGCGGTTTTCGGAGGTAAAATTTTTGCGCGGAAAAAAAAATCAGGGCTTGCCCGGCGACGTAAACGTAACGTACGCGTAATGTAACGTAAGCGTAACGTTCCGCGTACTGTACGTTTACGTCACCTTAAGTGACGTTAAGTACCAACTTGGGGAGGCACAGGGCTCGCTAGAGCATCCGGTTGGGCAGGCTGAAGACCGCGCTCCTCGAGATGGACAACGGCTTCAGGTTGTAGCCGTTGACCGTCACCGAGGAGAGGAGCACCGTGACGGTTTGGGCATAGGAATGCCAATTGGCCGCGGTGTTGTCCGGCAGCAGCTCAAGAGAGTCGACGGAGGTGAGGTCCACCGAGGAATCGGACGCCATGGAGGAGGAGGAGGGGAAGGAAGGGGAAGAGGAGGAAAAAGGAAAGGAGGAGGAGAAGGAGGAGGGAGGAAAAGAGTAGGTTTGCGGAGCGCAGCTCTTAAGTCGCTGAAGGCTACTTAAACGACCTGCGCGATGCGCTCCAAGGTGGGATGCAGCGACGGACGGCCGCGCGCGGTCGGCGGAAGCGACGACGGACAGCCGCACGCGACGGCGGCGAAATCGGCGATGGACAGCCGCACGCGGCGGCGGTGGAATCAGCGACGGACAGCCGCACGCAACGGCGGAATCGGCGGCGGCTGAAGCTTGGAGGACAAGAAACCACAAAGTGTGGTGCTCTCCGATTGGCCACAATGTGGACCAATGGGGGAGGTTGCTAGGAACGTAAGTCTAGGACCAAATCCAATCTTGACCAACCCAAATGTGTGGTTAGTCAACCCAACCAACAACCCCCCAATAAATATTATGACTACACCTCCTGATCTAGGCATGCATGTTGTATAGATATATATTTCACAACATGAAAGGGAGGGAATAAGGGGAGTGGGGGATTGAAGGGGAGGGAATAAGGGGAGTGGGGGATTGAAGGGGGGGGAAATGGGGAGTGGGGGATTGAAGGGGAGCAAGGCTCATAACCAACGTGCACTGTATGTGAGAACTGAAGTTGATGGTTGACATTAGACATTGGAGGGTTTACATAGGTGAGGAGTAGGAAGGGGGGGTTGGTTGGGAGTGGCGAAGATTATTGGCCACCCCAATAAGTCGAGTTGACCAAATTTATTGGGGTTCCAATAATCCTAGCCAGGATTATTGGAGGGTCCAATAATCGGGAGCCCAACCGAATTGGGGACCCAACCCCCAACTAGGGTGTGTACACCCTAATGAGTTGCTTATAAGTACTTAAGGGAACAAACCTATGTAGGCTAATAGGATAAGGGAAGTATAATTTAACACTACATTGTGCACGCGGTGTGCAAGTGAGGAAGGAAGGGGCGGCAGGGGTGCAGCTGGACCGCGTGCCACACGTGCATTGTGTTGCTCACGCCACCAGGAAGCACGGAGGGAGGGAGGTGGTGGGGGGGTGAGGGGGGGTGGTTGGTCCGGGTTGGGTTGGGTTGGGTGAGCGAATGAGGTGGCTTCAAGAGTGGGGTACTTGAGCAACGAGCACCACCCGTGCACGCTGTGAGGGGAGTGAGAGTGGGAGGGGACAGGCTGAGTGATGCTGCGTGGATGACAGGTTCAAGAAAGAGAATCTGGTAGGAGTGGAGGGTACAGGTCGGTACTTCGTGTGTAATCCCCAACCAAGAGGTGTGTAACGAAATAGGCTGGAAACGAAATGGTGCTTTAAGAATTTCTGAGCATGGATAGCAAGTGCGTCTTTGTGCTTCCTCCCTCTGTCCTCTCCTCTTCTCCCTCCCCCACCCCCCTTCCCTACTCGCGCGCCCCCCTTAGGCGAGCTCAAGGAGGTGGTGGGGAAGGGCTGGATTGACCTCTCCCTCACTCTCTACCTCTCCCTCACTCTCTACCTCTCCCCCACTCTCTACCTCTCCCCCACTCTCTACCTCTCCCTCTCGCGCCACTCCAGGGGCGAGCTGAAGGAGGTGCTGGGGAAGGACTGGATCGACCGGCAGCGGCGCATTGTGCAGCAGCATGCGGCGGCGTACCAGCGGACGTCGTGGAACAAGGTGGGCGCAAAAGAGGGGTGCAAAGAGATGGGGGGAGCACCAATAAGGTAACACTAACACAGGTAGTGCAACAGCATGCAGAGGCGTATGAGAGGACGTTCTGGAGCAAGGTGAGGGGTGGTGGGGATGTATGGAGAGGCTGCGGTGCAGTGGGTCATTCATTTGAGGTGCTTCATTTCGGAGTCAATGGAGCGGTGCATCGTGCAGCAGCATGCGGCAGAGTACCAACAGACGTCATGGAACCACAGTGGGACATGCATGCAGCACCATGCAGGGTGCAGGGTGCATGGTGCATGGTGCAGGGTGCATGGCGCATGGTGCCCTCCTTGTCGCATCCCCAGGTTTATTTTCGCAGCCCTCCCCTGACTTCGTCATTCTTCTTTCGCTCGTTGTTCACTGCTGCAACCCACCCTCAGAAGCACCCCTCCCAATGGCACTGCATTCTATTGGTGCCAATCAACACCTACATGCCACTCAAATCTTTCCCATGAATGCGCCACATCGAGCGCTCGCAATATAACCACATGGTGAACTCTCTTCCCTTGCTTCCGTGATCACTCCTCCCTCCTTTCTTGCTTGCCCTACCCCCCCTTCTCCCCCCCCCCCTCGTCCCCAACCCCCACCCCCCCTGCCGTCCTCCCTTTCTCCCCCGTCCCATCTCTCTTTGCTGCTCACCAGATTTTTGGCCTGTTGACGTCACAAGGATTGTCAGCGGACGGCAAGGAGGGCAGTGTGAGCCGCAATGCGCTCAAAGAGAGGTAAGAGGCTGGATCCATTTTTCGGGGGGTGGTAGGGGTCGGGGCAGGAAGGAGCGGGTGGATGGGGGGTGGGGGGGGGTAGGGGTGGAGGATTGCGGGTGGGCTGGATTTTGACTATCGTCCATAGGAGAGGTGGGGCAGTTGGAAGAGCACACTTGGCAAGAAGGGCCGCCACAATCTGCTTGAGCCATTTCTTCGTCGTTGCCTGCGACAAGAATCATGTCATCGACGTAATCAAAGATGTAGAAGTGGGATGTGGCGGTGCAAATGAAGCGGCTGGCATCGACTTTGGATGCAGAAAAATCGAGCGACTGGGGAGTGGGTTGTACCCCTCCCTGGCCGCCTGCTTGAGGCCGTAGACAGGACGACGAAGGTCCCAGACAGTGTCGGGTGGGAATGGCTCATGCTCCAGGTGGACTTGGTCATGGAGGATGCAGTAGGGGAAGGCATTGGAGACATCCATGTAGTGGATGACCATGTTGAGGCGAGGTACCATGTCAACGATGGCGGGAAGCTTGGCTGTGGGGGAAATTGTGTCCTTGTAGTCCGTGCCCCAGGTCTGCGTGAAGCGAGCCTTGTAGACAGGCTCAGCGCCTGGAAGTTGCTCGACCCGGAAGGCTTATTTCCTTGAACAACGTTATTGTTGGCGTCATTGTTGGAGGGTTGTGGCACGTCGACGAAAGACGCGTGCGTTGAGGATGAAGGCTTCGTACTCTTTCCAGATGGTCGCCCGCCAGTGTTGGGCGTCATGACAGTTGGTGGCTGTATGGAAAGTGGTCGGTTCAAAGATCCGGGCAGCGCATGAGAAGGCCAGTCACTGTCGGCTTGAGTAGTGCCATTGCTGTTTGCTTTTGCACACACTATTCTACCGTGCTGTCGACCCGGCCATCTCCACTCAGGTTCCATGTTTCCAACGGCACCTTTGAGCAGCTGCACGGTGCGCAGTTCATGTGTTCTCACCCTCCACTCTTTTTCCTCCCAGGTTTCGCGTTCTCAACTCCACTTTTGAGCAGGTGCACGGGGCGCAGTGCCCTGCTGCTGTGTGCTTGGTTGGCAGCACTACCGTACGTGTATCTCTACCTCTTCGCCCCTTCTCTCCCTCCACTCCCCACTTCCCCCCCTCCCCCTCCCCACCTCCTCCCAGGCTTCGAGTCTTGAATGCCACCTTTAAGGAGCTCCTTCGCTTGCAGTGCATATGGAAGATCGCTGCTAGCATTGCCATACGTGCCATCTCTTCCTCGCCTCTCCTCCCAGGTTCCGCATGTTGAACGCCACCTTTGAGGTACCGCGCACAGTGCCTGTGAAAGATCGCTGTTTCATGCCATCCCTCCCTCCTCTCCTCTCCTCCCCTTCGTTTTCCTCCTCCCCGTCCTCCCAGGTTCCGCGTGTTCAACGCCACCTTTGAGGAGCTGCACCGCTCGCAGTGCGTGTGGAAGATCCCCGACCCCGAGCTGCGGTCCGCTGTGCAGCTGCAGATCGCCGAGGTGCTGCTGCCCGCCTACCGCTCCTTCGTGCAGCGCTACACGTGAGTGCCACGTGCAGTGATATACGTGAGATACTAAACCCTAAATCCTGACGATACACGCACGTACTGCTGCCCGCCTACCGCTCCTTTGTGCAGCGATACATGTGAGTTGGTGACACACGTGAATAGCCGTGTCACACGTGAGTAGCCGTGACGCACATGAGTTGCCGTGATTCACATGGGTTGCCGTGATACACTAAACCCTAACCTGTGAGAGTGGCGTGGTCTGTGCTTGCTCCTGCATCTGTGTGCTCTGCCCCTTGTCCACCTCCCATCCCCCCCTCCTTCCTCTTTCCACGCCCCTCCCTCCCTTTCAGCCCTGTGCTGGAGAGCGGCGGTCGCTTTGGGCGCAGCAGCGAGGCGGCCTCCAAGTACATTCGCTTCAGCGAGGAGAGCCTCGACTCGCTCTTGAACGAGTTCTTCCAGGGCAGGGAGAGCCGCAACATCCTCCTCACGCAGCCATCTGCTGCTCGGTAGATGCAGAGGGGCGTCGTAAGGGGGTGCTAAATCCGGCGGCTAAAGCGATGGCTGTTGCTGTCAAACATGTGGATCTGTTATGTTTGCAAGGACTGTATAGGGTCACCTCTTAGAGGGTACAACACTTAGGTATATTCACTTGTACTCTCTCACTACTCAATCAATTACTCAGTTTAAGATGGTATCAGCAGTAGGTAGGTCCCGCCGCCTGCCCATGCTTCCGCCCTAGGCCCTAGCCGCCTCCGCGCCCGCCCTAGTCGACCCCGCACCCGTCCTAGCCGCGCCCGCGCGCCCGCCCTAGCTGCGCCCGCCGCGCCCGTCCTAGCTGGCCCCCGCGCCCGTCCTCACGGCCCCCGCGCCCGTCCTAGCCGGGCCCGCGCCCGTCCCAGTTGGTCCCGCGCCCGTCCTAGTCGGCCCCGCGCCCGTCCTAGTGGCCCCCGCGCCCGTCCTGCTAGCCCCCGCGCCTATCCTAGTGGCCCCCGCGCCCGTCCTACCGGCCCTCGCGCCCGTCCTTACCGGCCCCGCGCCTGTCCTAGCGGCCCCCGCGCCCGTCCTACCAGCCCCCGCGCCCGTCTTAGCCGGCCCCGCGCCCGTCCTAGCGGCCCCCGCGCCCGTCCTACAAGCTCCTGCGCCCGTCCTAGCCGGCCCCCGCGCTCGTCCTAGCTGGCCCCCGCGCCCGTCCTACAGGCCCCTGCGCCCGTCCTACTGGCCCCCGCGCCCGTCCTACTGGCCCCCGCGCTCGTCCTAGCTGGCCCCCGCGCCCGTCCTACAGGCTCCCAGGCCCGTCCTCTCCGGCCCCACGCCCGTCCCAGGCCAGTCCTAGCCGGCCCCGCGCCCGTCCTACCTGGCCCCCGCGCCTGTCCTTGCCGGTCCAGCGCCCCCCCGCGCCCGTTCTGCCGACCCCTACGCGCGCCGTGCCCGTCGATCTCCGGCCCCGTGCTCACCTTCCCGCCGGACTGCCGCTGATCTGCGTGCGACCCGCTCTCCGTCCTCTCCATCACCTTGCACCGCACTGCACCCCCTTGCACCGCACGGCACCGCGCTGCACCGCGCTGCACCGCACTGTACCGCACTGTACCGCGCTGCACCGCACTGTACCGCCCTGCACTGCACTGGACCGCCCTGCACTGCCTCACCTGGCCCAGCCCTGCAGTGTTCCTGATGGCTGCGGAGCTTCGCTTCGACGCTGAAGGCCATCCTCTGGAGTTCGAGGCCTGGCTAGCCGACCTCCGCCACCACCTCACTGGTCAGCGGCAGGATGGCCACCTGCTCTCGGCACACCTTGACGGTACGCTTCCCTGCCCAGAACCCCCTGCTGTGCTGCCCGCTGACCCCACACCTGCTGAGCGTGAGTCTACTGCGGCCGCTGCCCTCGCTCGCTCTGTCTGGCTTTCCCGTAACGCTGTCGCCCAGCTTGCCATTAGCAATGCCCTCCCCCCGTCTGAGCGTCCTCGCTTTAGGTCTATCACCACCGCCCAGGCTTTCTTAGACGCTGTTATCCGGCGCTATTCCGCTCCGCCTGCTGCCTCGGTGGGTCGCCTGATCCTACCGATGCTCTTTCCTGACCTTGCGTCTTTTCCCACTGTCGCTGACCTGGCTGCCCACCTATGCACGATAGATGAGACCTGGCGCGCTGCCTGCACTGACGCACAGCTTAGAGCCCACCAGCCGCCCCTTACCTCTACCCTCTACGTGCTTGCCACCCGCCTCCCTGACCGCCTTGCCGCTGCTCGTGACCGCTTCCGTAGCATTCACCTCGGTGACCTCACCCTCACAGACTTTGTAGACACCCTGACTGTTATTGAGACCCGCCACCGCTCTATCGCCCAGGCGAGCGGTACTGTGCCGGTCCCTATCTTTCAGGGCTGTGCCCCCGCTCAGTGCACCTTCTCCGATGGTTCTGCAGCTGTGGCTGAGACCGCCGCTGCAGCGCAGTTCCGTCCGGGGAAGGGCCGCCGCCCCAAGGCTGGGCGCGGCGGAGGTGGTGGGGGTGCCAGTAGAGGTGGTGGTGGAGTCGGGTCGTCTGGTGGTGGAGTGGACGAGGGGACTCTGCCAGGTCCAGCTGAGCAGCCGCCCCAGCAGCCGCAGCAGCCGCAGCAGCCGCAGCAGCCGCAGCAGCCGCCGCAGACGAGGCAGGCGAGTGCCCTCCCGCCTGGGTGGTCTGGTGCTGGTGGTGGTCGTGCGCGTGGTGGTGTGCTAGGTGGCGGTTCGGGAGGCGTGCGCTGTCAGTACCAGATCCAGACCGGTCCTCGCCGCAGCTTTGTTTGCGGTAAGATCAGTCACACCACTGCCCGCTGTTTTCGTCGCCTGGACGACCTGTTTCGTCAGCGTTTCGGCCCGTCGCCCGACCTCTCGGACTGGCACAGTTTGCTTAGTCGTAGAGTTCAGTTTTTTTACATGGACATGGATGCCATTGTTTCTGCCCTGCATGTGATGTATGCTGATGACTCTAGTGTGCTCCCCTCTTATTACTCCTTGTCGCCTAGTGTAGGTGTGCCTAGCTTAGCCTCCCCTGCTGCGTCAGGCACAGGAGCTTCTGCCTTGTTTAGCCTTGGAGCTTCCGTCGTCGCCCCGTCGCCAGACGCCACTGCTTCGGTTTCCTTCACCTTGGACTCTGGCGCTTCCCGGTGTTTCTTCCGCGACTCTACTACGCTGACGTCGCTTCCTGTTCCTGCTGCGTTTTCTCTTGCTGACCCCTTCGGCGGTCCCGTCGTCGCTCGCAGTTCTACCACCCTTCCCTGTCCGGCGGTTCCTTCGGGCTCTCTCACAGGTCTGCATCTCCCCTCGTTCTCCAGGAACCTAGTTAGTGTCGGTTGCCTGCAGGACCTTGGCGTCACCACTACGTTCCCTGGTCACGAGCGGTATGCTGTCTATACCGAGGCCGCCACTGGTGCCCCCCTATCCACGTTCCCCCAAGACCCGGTGTCCGGCCTATTCACCCTAGACACCATGACCCCTCCGGCTGGGGCGCCCTTTTAGGTGGTTGCGTCTACCCAGGTTGCTACTGCCTGCTCCTGTCGGTCCCTCACTCACCCGACTCTCCTGTGGCACCACTGTCTAGGTCACCGTGCGCTCCCGCGTCTGCGTCACATGTCCCAGCACGGTCTCGTCCTTGGTCTCCCTGGTTCGTTCCCCGCTTTTCCCTCCTCCCCCGCCCCCCCTTGCACGCCTTGTGTTGAGGGTCGGCTTCACCGTGCCCCTCACTCCTCCTCGTTTCCCCCTACCGCCGCACCGTTGCAGACACTGCACATGGACATCTGGGGCCCCGCCCCCGTCCATGGGTCGCGTCGAGAGCACTACTTCCTCGTGCTTGTCGACGACTTCACTCGCTACACCACCGTCTTTCCCCTGGAGCGCAAGGCCGACGTGCCTAACGCTCTCATCCCCTGGCTTGTCTCTGCCCGAGTCCACCGAGGTCTCCCTGTCCTGCGTCTTCACTCCGACCGTGGTGGCGAGTTTGCCTCAGGTGTCCTTGGTCGCTTCTGTCGTGTGGAGGGCATCACCCAGACGTTCACCCTGCCGGACTCCCCACAGCAGAATGGGGTCGCTGAGCGACGCATCGGTTTGGTCATGGAGGTGGCTCGCACCTCCATGATCCATGCCGGTGCACCCCATTTTCTGTGGCCGTTCGCCGTGCGCTACGCTGCTCACCAGCTTAACCTGTGACCGCACCCCCAGCAGCCGCAGGTTTCGCCGACCCTTCTTTGGACTGGGTCTCTTGGTGACGCGTCTGCATTCCACATCTGGAGCTGCCTTGCTCACATTCGTGCCTCTGGCACAGACAAGCTCACTGCCCGCACCCTTCCCTGTATCTTCCTCGGTTTCCCCCTTGACGCGTCTGACTGGCACTTCTACCACACGCCGTCTCACCGGTTCTTTCACTCTCGCGACGTCACCTTTGACGAGTCCGTCTCCTTCTTCCGTCGCTTCCCCCACCGCGGTCCCCCGGTTACTCCCCCCCTGTTCCTGGTCACTCCTTCCCCGGTGGTCCCTGCCCCCCCCCCCTCCCCCTCCCCGTCCTGCCCCCTCAAGTGTGTCCCACGTCACCCTTCTCCCGTCAGTTGTCCCGGTCGAGGAGTCCTCTGACTCTGGTGGTCCTGCGGTGCAGTCCTAACCGTCTGCCCCTCCCCCGGTGTCTCCTCCCCCACAGCCTCTGCAGCCGCCGTCGCCCCTGCTGTCGCAGCCGTCGTCTCCGCTGTCGTTACCGCTGCACCCGTCGTTCCCGCCGTCGTCGCAGCAGCAGTTCGTCGACTCTGGGGGTGCCCGCGTTGGGGTGGGTGCTAGTTCTGGGGTTCCTGTCGTGGCCTGTCCCGGTGGCCCTGGGGGTGGTACTAGTGCTCGGGGGGTTTCGGGCTCTGGGGGTGTTCCTTCTGGGGTGCCGGAGTGGAGTGTCCCGGAGGTAGCCGAGGAGCAGCTTGCGGTCCCGGTGTTGGTGTTGTGCCGCCGCAGCAGCAGTCCCCGCCGGTGTCAGCCCTTCGCCTACTCGGCCTTCCGTCCCCTGACCCTGCGTCCGTTCCTCTTCTGCCGTCTCCTCCCCTTCCTATCTACGGCCCTGTGTTCCCTCCGCCAGACTCGTCCCCGGCTCGTCTTCCCCCTCGCTCCCCCCTCGTGTCCCCTCCTCTGTCTCCTGACCCAGACGCTTTCGACATCCCGACCCCTTGCGCTTACGCTGAGGCGACCTCGGGACCCTGGGCCTCGCAGTGGATAGCTGCCATGGAGCAGGAGATGGCATCTTGGAGATCCACCGGCACCTTCGTCGACCGAGTTCCCCCGCCAGGGGTGAACGTAGTCGATGGCCGCTGGCTCTTCAAGGTGAAGCGCCCTCCTGGAGAGCCGCATGTGTTCAAGGCGCGCTACGTGGCTAGAGGCTTTAGTCAGCGTGAGGGGGTGGACTTCTTCCCGACCTTCGCTCCGACCCCGAAGGTGACTACTCTTCGGGTTCTGTTACACCTAGCTGCTCAGCGAGACTACGAGCTTCACTCCCTCGACTTCTCCACTGCCTTCCTTCAGGGCAGCCTACACGAGCAAGTCTACCTGCGTCGCCCTCAGGGCTTTACTGTCACCTTCCCTCCTGGGACCCAGTGGCTCCTGCGGCGTCCCGTCTACGACTTGCGGCAGGCTCCCCGTGAGTGGCACGACACACTGCGTGCTACCCTTGCTGACCTGCAGTTCTTTCCG